CCCCCCCCCCCCCCCCGGTGTTATTTCTGGAATAATGTTTTTTATCTGTTGCAACATTTTTGAGAACTTTAGTGTACGAGGGAATAATGTTTATTTTTGTAATTTTTTCTGTTAAATGCTTCTTTTTCCTCACTCGCACCCCTTCAAACCTTTATCATAAACTTATTACTTGATTATCAGATCTGTAAATTGTCGTATGGTCGTACACAGGATATTTTTTCCAGGAGGGTGGTGGGCTTATTTTTAGTTTCACATAGAGGTTAGCCCCCCCCCCCTCAATTTACGCATTTTGATTGGGAATGAAATTGGTCTGAAATTTTAAGGTTTTAAAGTTATTTGGTATATTTTCCGGTTAGAGTTAAAATTGGAATAAAAGTATAGTTTTCATTCTAATATGTCAAACCCCTTAAATATCTGTCAAAACAAATTCCTCTGATTAACCGTATATTTTGGTTGTATTGTAATACCAAAATTGCAGATATAAATCACAACCTTATAACTTTCGGCCTAGTAACAAGATATATTAATGTTATTTCTATGAAACTGCTGTTTCTTGCGTATTTATTCAATCTTAGGCAGAATTTTAAGAATTTGAGCCGCGGCTTAAATTTGAGACGCAGCTCAAATATGGTTGGTTCCAACTAACATTGGGTTCAATGTTCAACAAAGAATGAGAATTTAAGCAGGGTACCATTGTGAATTTGGCGGTTAAATTTTTAAATGGAGAGTCGTTTGAACTAACGTCTGCATGTTAATTTATTTGTGCACGATATCATGCCTCACAAATACTTGAATATCGATTAATCAATAACCTTAACCCCTTGTTAACATGTTAACAGATAATGTATATTACATACTGCTGTAAAATAACATTTTTATAATTGATTGAATAAATAATATTCTGTTGTAATCCTGACAGTGTGTACTGTTAAAATATTTGAGGCAAAATCTATGATTTTCTCCATAACTAAGTAATAAGTTTTTATAGACTTTTTTTCCTTTAAATCCAAATTTAATTTTATAAATAAAAATTTAATTTTATCCTGTCAAAGCCCCTTTGATTGGATAAATATGGACATTGGATAAAGTAAGACGTTAAAATTTTGTTAAAAGTTTACCATTATAAAAGTTTCTGATAAGCGGTGTTATGTAAATTTGTGATCTGTTGTCTGTGTTATGCTCGATCATAAATTATGAACCCCTTAACCGATTTGCCTCAAATTTTGATTGGGTTACTCGGGAGAGCCACGGAGATGTTATTTGCTTTGGTTAAACTGTAAGAGTAACTATGAGTACCCTGGGAAACGCTGGGTTTTAAAGCTAGTAGTATATTTATATATTTATATATTTATATACTTTAGGAGGAAAAGATTGTTGAGTTGAAGGAGGAGAAAATTTCTAATGGAGACACAAAGGTATTGTTTAAACTATCTAAATGATGTTGATTTCATCTCCCATCTCAAAGGGTCCATCAGGGGTGTTCATTTTCTTGAAAAATTCCCCCTTTTTATATCCTATTTTCCCCAGTGCAATGAGGGCAATGTTGTAAATACGAAAATAAATGAATTTTCAATTTGTAAGAGGTTGCGTGGTTTTATATGATATACATATTAATATGTAAACGATAACGAGGTACGAGAAGCGTATTAAGGGGGTGGGGCAGGCTATGGGGGGAAGGGAAGGAACCCTCGGACGCCATGAGCCTCCGTTGTACAGACACGTGCCTCCTAGATTTGCTAGGCAGACCAAGCCTCCGCCATGCAGTAAGTGCCTTCGCTATGAAGTAAACTAGCCTCCGCTATACAGTACAGCTTCCTTTTCATATGAAATGTAGTATTTAAAAAAAAATTAAAAAGCTTATTAAAGTATTAATAATTAATTATAAATAGTGGATGAATCATGGCTAGTATAATGGTTTATTAAACTTGAAACATTTTTTACGTACAAAGGAAATATTTTGAGAATAAACTCTGAAAATAATTTTTTGATATTTTTTAATCTTTGATTTAAGCAATACCTTTTTTTGAAATTTTATCAGATTAAGCTAATCAAAAATTTTACATTAACAAATAATCTAAATCTAACTAAATCTTCCAAAAAAGGTATTTCATGCATCCAAGATTCAACAAAATAAATTAAGTTCAATTAGAAATGAATTTCCAAATAGCCTATTTACTGCATGAAAAATGTTAAATTGTAAAACCTTAATCTTATAACAACATGAGTCAATATTAGTTACAAATCATGACAATCAATAAACAACATTAATCCAAAGTAAAATTCATCTGCCATGTTGATAAAAATTTAAAAAAATTCTTTATTACATGTAAAATCCAAGATTTAAAAGGAAACTGTGCTGTATGGTGGAGGTTCTTGTCTGCATAGCGGAGACTCGGTCTGCCTGGCAAACCTGGGAGATTGTGGCCTGCATGGCGGAGGCTCATGGCGCGTGGGGGTTCCCTCCCTCATGGGGGCTCACCTCTTGCAAAGCAGCAGCAAAGTTTTTTTCTTGATATAAATATTCAAAATGTCTTTCTAGTGTTAAAAGTGGTCAATTTAATTTTTATTTAGTTCTTACTAATTGTTTCCGGAAAAGCTCAAATGTCACACGTGTCTTACTTTACAACAACTTCGGCATTATTTCCATCAAGTATTTAATTAAGGTTGAGGATTCTATTGAGGATCTGAAGAAGGAGGTTGAGGAGGTCAAGGAGGAGAAGGAGAAGGAGGAAGTGAAGGAAGGAGAGGAGGGGGAGAAGGGAGAAGGTGACTCCAAGGAGACCGAAGATGAGAACAAGGAAGAGAAAAAGAAAGATTCCCGAGCCACCAATATCAGGAAAAAGCTTTCTTTCAAGAAAAGCTTCAGTTTTCTCAGGAAGAAAGCTGCAAAAGATGCTGCTGCAAAGGAGGAGAAGGTTGAGGAAGGAGAGAAGGAGGAAACTAAGGAAGATAAGGTAGAAGAGAAGGCTGAGGAGAGTTCGCCTAAGGAGACTGAGACTGAAAGCAGCAGCAAGCCTGAAGAGAGCAGCACAGAGAAGGTGGAAGACGCCCCTGCACCACCCACAGAAGCTCCCCCAGGTAAAACAAAAATTTTTGGGCATCGCCCCCCCCCCCACACCTTGAAAAATCGCGTGTAAACGGGCATGTATTGACAAGAAAATAGGACATTTTTTCACTTAATGAGTTTTATGAAGCAAATTTTCACAATTTATGTAGTAAATTTCCTACAGGGTGACAAGATTTTCCTTTATTTCTTAAATCTAAAATTCTCCCCATTTTCTTGATCCAAATGTTTACTCCCTGGATGAGATTTTTGGAATCTATTTACTGGTGCTTAGGATCCGCAAGGTTTTGGCTTCCTGGATCCAGATCCGCAAAAAAAAAAAAAAATTTGCGGATCCACGGATCTGGATCCACGGGGTAAAATATCAACCAAAATCTGCAACAAAAAAAATTAAACTTAATCCCAAATCTGAACTTTTGAAAAAAGAGAGATTATAAAATTTTCTCATTTCTGAATGGTTCATAAAGTTTTAGGATAAAAACAAGCGAAAAAATAAAACTAAATATTTGAAAATTATTTTTTGTTTAAAAAATTCAGTAAATATTAAAGAAATGACCTGGATCCGGATCCGGATCCATTATTTTCCAGTGCGGACCTAGGATCCGGATCCGCATCAAAATGAAATAAATCCCAAGCACTGCTATTTACCTGTCTTACCTTGCTCCCCACTTTCCCTTCTCCCAACTTTAAATGTAAGCATGTTGATGTCCCAAAGTTAAGTATCGGACCAATTAAGAAATATAATTGTATTTCAGCAGTCCCTGCCGCAGAAGAGAGCATACCCGTTCCCGTTGCTGAAGAGAAGATTGAGAAGGTAGAGACGGAAGAAGAGAAAGAAGAGGAGAAGGCAGAGGAATCTCCCGAGAAGGTTGAAGAGAAGGAAGAAGATAAATCTGATAAAGAAAGTGAAACATTGGTGAAGAAAGATGATTCTGAAGAGTAGTAAATATTCAGTTAATAGCAGGTTCAGGGGTAGAATTAGGCCTAACATTCTCTCAATAATTCGGACGGATTCTTGCCGTCAGGATCTCCCCTGAAACCTAATATTTACAATCTTTCACCTTCTTTTGTGATCCAGAGACTATATTATTATTTTTTTGTCATGTTCGGACACTTCCTAGAGTCGACAAAACTTTCCCGTATTTTTGGAAGTCTGCAATTTTCCCAGATTTTCGAACTTTTTTGTGGATTTTCTGCGAGTGTTGATCAGGCGCAGTACACTGTAAATAAGTTGAAGATATCGATATTTGACCCAGCCTTGATTATTGAATGCTGATTTTGTTTGTTTACGATTACGATAGAGTAGTAGAGGTATATTCAAACAATATACTGGTGAATATCTGTACATTTAGACATTGATGATTTGGACTTTGTACAAATCGTCATTTCCTTGTAAATTGCATTTTGAGGATCTCATGTAAAACCATTTAAATATTGTAATTCCCTATTAGGCATTTTTTATTGAAAATTTGCAGTATCGCCCTTTTAAGGTGACACGGCACTGTCCTGTAACGACCAATGTTTTTAAATCTCAATAAACCAATAATAAATTTTTTCGTATTTTTTTTTTTGGAAACTGAACTAGTTTTTAGTAATGGGACTGTAAGAGCAATTTTATGTTTTAGTACTCAAGACGTATTTTCAATGACTCGACATTTAAGAATGTCATGCAATTTCCCAATGTTAACCTAGAAACCTCAGAAATTCGTAAGAGAACTTCGTTTTTCTGCTTGTATGTGTGAAATTTGATATTTTCAGTGGATATATAACAATTAAATAAACAAGCAAATAAACTTAGATCTTATTATGTAAACGTTGTGACGTTGTGAATCTAACTTGTTACTCTTTTTAAGATGATCTTGTGAAAGTGTTTAAATGATATATTTATAGCTTTTTTTTGTCAGGCTGCTGAAAGAGTTTTAAAGCAGTAATGCTTTTATGAGCTTGACTTGCTTTACAACTTCTACAACATATATTCAAGTCAATCAATTTTTATTTCAAGCATAACTTAATGAAATTTTTAATATGAACATTTACGGATATTGTTTGACAAAATCACAAAACATGAAAATTTCAGAATGGCGTCCACTATCCTCAAAAACCAGTTTCCACTTGTTTTAGCTGTTTCTGGAACAAAATGGCGTGGAGCTTACAGGGGAAAACTTCAGCAAATACTGTCTTCTTCCTCTCTCTAAACCCATGCCTAATACACAGGGTTTTATCAACTAAGGATGAGACTTCGAGACTATTGTACGGAACTTGTTTAGTCTGTTGTCTTGTCTCATGGTTCCTTTAGGTCATTTATGTGCTTAAACATTTAGTAAACCTTCAAAATAATCGTTTAAATGCAGAAACCAAGAAACAGTTATATTTGTAGTTTTCAAGTATTCCATTTATTCCATGATTCACAACAAATATCAATACCTTAATGTATTTGATTTAATTGAGGAATTTTTTTTTAAAGTTTGAAAGAAAATCTTAAAATTCGTTAAACAAATATTATTAACAGTTCATCATTCTTGATCCGTTAAAGGGTACTGATGTGAAATATGTATGCCTCTCTTTAAATGAAATGTCGCTTAAAGTCCGTTAATGCCGATCAGAATCATCACTTCTCAGTTAAACCAACTACTTATATATTTCATTTGGTGTTTTTCTTGTATGCAGTGAGACCCAGAAAACTCGGGAGTAGGAAGCCAACTTTTAGACTGATAACTAATAGTCTAATGAACATGAAACACAGTGTGTAGTGTAAACAGACCCACTTAACTTAACAAGTTAATTCATGAGTTTCTAGTCGAATCTATTTGCTTTGTAACACTAACAACATCTAATTTACATCGTTTTCCTATTCCACAGTTTTTCGGTTCTCACTGTATACTGTCTAAAAAAAAACGAAAATAAAACAGCTTATGACCTACTAATTTTCCGAGCTACTGCAATATCGGACCTACGTGCCAGCTGTTTATATTTTGTATTATGTGAGGATTAAGTTATGTTAGGACAGCTTCTGGACCGAGCGCTGTGTCTAGGACAGGCTAGGGGGCTGGGCGCTGTGGCTACAAGTCCACCTAGCAGCTGTAAGACCACGTGCTAGTAGGTCGGATGTGTAGTATAGCGGATTTGTCGTAGGTCAGAAGTGAAGTATAGCGGATTTGCGTAGGTCGAAAGATACACCATCTTTGAACATGAGAACAAAGACGGAAACTAAAGACGTCTCTGAAGTCTCATTCTGGAAGAGACTGAAAGCGTACTCTTAAGTGAATCCATGTAAATATGGCATTTATCGATTCACAACGGTACCCTTGAAACCTTTATCTGATCAATGATGTGAATAATATTGTAGTTATTCGGGGTTTTTATGAGTTGAATTATGACTAATTTAGTTAATACTTGATTATATAAAAATTTCAAGGGTACCGTTGTGATTCGGGCAAATTGCCATCCTTGCATGAATTATGGTAGCAGTCCCTTTCATGTAAAACAAGTATACATTATGTTGCAACAAAATCTAAATTAAATATTTTACCTGGAGTAAAATTCAATTGCCATAGTGTTAGTTTCATGGGTTCTTAACTAAACATAATAAATATAGAGTTCTTTCAACGTTTTACAATAACAATTTATAATCTGTTATATAATGTAAAACAAATTACCGGTCATTTTTCGCTACTATAGTTCCTACGAAAACCCTGAGCTTCAAATTTTTAATTTTTAGATAACAAAACCATGATAAAATCACTTCCATTGATTATATTTCCAATAATCTTCAGTTAAAGTAAAGGGAAAACTTTTAAAACTTCCAAATGGAAGTCGGAGCTTCAGTGGAACTCATTAAATTATGGACCTGATGTAGATGTGATGTTGTTTTTGTTATAAAGCAAATATTGTTTGAGCTAGAAAATAAAATAAAAAGGGAGATGGTGCTGTGTGCACAAGACGAGTCTAAAAGTCGTCTCCCACTTCTACAGTTGTATAGGGTCCAACTGTATTGAAATGTTTATTCCTTCTAGAAGATTGTTAAAAGGTCGGTCATAAATTAACACAGAAAATTTCAAAATAAATACAGTTTTATTCTGATGTAATGTCGTCGTTTATATGAAGTTTTAAATGTTTGCAAGACTTCATAATTAGTTGTGTAGTTTAATATTTTCCACAGAGAGGAACATAATTAGTTGTGTAGTTTAATATTTTCTACAGAGAGGAACATAATTAGTTGTGTAGTTTAATATTTTCTACAGAGAGGAACATAATTAGTTGTGTAGTTTAATATTTTCTACAGAGAGGAACATAATTAGTTGTGTAGTTTAATATTTTCTACAGAGAGGAACATAATTAGTTGTGTAGTTTAATATTTTCTACAGAGAGGAACATAATTAGTTGTGTAGTTTAATATTTTCTACAGAGAGGAACATAATAAATTGTGATGTTTTAACTCTCTAAGAGACACACCATAAAAAGTAAAAATTATTTTATGACAGTTAAGAGGTGAAGGTCGTCATTGATTTTGATAGCTACAGGGTGTCCCAGGGAACATGGCAGTTGGTGAAAAGTTTAAAATGTCTTCGTCCATAGTTTGATAAGTTGCTTGAAACTAAAGAGACTAATAACTTTTTTATATGATAGTTATATTATAGTAATATTGATTTCACAGTAAAATGTGTATGTTAAACATTTTTTAAAGAAATAAACTGCAAAAAGTCTGTAATATCTAATACAGAATGTGGAAGAAGACATTCAAAACCAACTGTCATGGTGGGACACCCTGTATTAAATAACAAAGTGTACAGTCACAGTGAGAAACAGAAAACTCTGGAATATAGGAAGACGACATTAAAACATTAATTAAGTGTATTTAATGTTGTTACAAAGTAGATAGTTTTACTAGCAACTTATTAAATCCTTATTTTAAATGAAATGGGTCTTTTTACACTGCACGATTGCCGTAGCTCGTGTTATTTGGATTATTTACAGTCATAATTTAAGTCTGAAAGCCGTCTTTCTAATTTAGAGTTTTATGTTTCTCAGCTGTATCAAAGATAACGGAAATCTTTAATTTGTCTCTCACATGTTATGTTTAGTGAACAAAAATACTTTGGAAAAGGGAGACGACATTAACGCAACAATGAAGATGTTGATACAAAGCAAATAGATATCCTAGCAACTTATTGAATCGTATTGAAAGTCGTCTTCCTATTCTAGAGTTTTATGGTTCTCAGCTGTATCAAAGATTAAAGAAAATCTTTAAATTATCTTTCAACTGATATGTTTAGTTGGAAACCTTGTATACGGTGTACCTCTAGTGATGAATATTCCAAGTGTTGAACTGCACAAAATAATTCCTTCATTAGTTTAGAACCAATTCCCATCCTGCATGTAGAAGCAAATTAAAAATTATTAAGTTTTACCTCAAAAAGTAATTTGGACAGAAAGATTTCTATTTATGATTGAAAAATAAAAACCGTCAAAATGTTGATTTAAATTCGTCTTTTTCAAGAACGTGGCTCTGTTAAGTATATTGTAATCATTGATTAATAACAATACAGAAAGAACACTATATGTTGTCTATTTAAGATTTAAGGTTTTTCGTTCACAGTAACCCTGAGGCAGAAGCCCAAAAGGAGTAACGCGCATACTCTCCTTCTGTCTTTCAACGCGGCATGGGCATAACTCTTTTGAGCTTCTGCCACAGGGTTAATGTATACAAAAAAACCTAAATCTTGAAAAGAAGACATCTAATGTTCTACTGTATTGTTATTAACCTATGATTGTAATAGTTAAAACTTTAAAAATGTGCACTTAACATTTTAAATAACCTTCAACCTTCTATAGGATGAATTATCAATCCCGTTTAATTACCTTCTACAGGATGGATCCCCAATCCCTTTAAACTACCGTTCACAGGATGGATTCACAATCCCTTTAAATTGCCTTCTACAGGATGGCTTCCAAATCCCTTTAAATTACCTTATACAGGATGTATTCACAATCTCTTTAAATTAAATGCAACAGGATGGATTCACAATCCCTTTAAATTACCATCTACAGGATGGATCCACAATCCCTTTAAATTACCTTCTAAAGGATGGATCCCCAATCCCTTTAAATTACCTTCTACACAATGGATCCCCAATCCCTCTAAATTACCTTCTACAAGATGGATCCCCAATCCCTTTAAATTACCTCCTACAAGATGGATCCCCAATCCCTTTAAATTACCTTCTACACAATGGATCCCCAATCCCTCTAAATTACCTCCTACAAGATGGATCCCCAATCCCTTTAAATTACCTTCTACAAGATGGATCCACAATCCCTTTAAATTACCTTCTACACCATGGATCCCCAATCCCTTTAAATTACCTTCTACACGATGGATCCCCAATCCCTTTTAATTACCTTCTACAGGATGGATCCCCAATCCCTTTAAATTACCTTCTACACCATGGATCCCCAATCCCTTTAAATTATCTTCTACAGGATGGATCCCCAATCCCTTTAAATTACCATCTACAGGATGGATCCACAATCCCTTTAAATTACTTTATACAGGATGGATTCACAATCTCTTTAAATTAAATGCAACAGGATGGATTCACAATCCCTTTAAATTACCATCTACACCATGGATCCCCAATCCCTTTAAATTACCTTCTACAGGATGGATCCACAATCCCTTTAAATTACCTTCTACAGGATGGATCCCCAATCTCTTTAAATTACCTTCTACAGGATGGATCCACAAACATTCTCCAAAGTTTTCCTGTACCTTCTCTTTCTGTCTCTCTAAATAAAATATTGTAAAAACCTTAAAGTGATTATCTGCCCTATCCTGATTCTATAGAACACAAGATATCGCAGGACAAATAGAAGTTAGAAGCTACACGTACCAACAGTTTTTAGACAGCATAAACCCGCACAAGAACTGATAAGAATTATTCTGATTTTAGAAACATTTCCGATAATTTAATGATGTATCAGGAAGAGATCATTCCAAGTATTTATTGTCCATTTATTGTCCATAAGAAGACGATGAAGAAGATGAAGAAAAATGTCTAGTATATTCAGAAAAGGAAAAAGAAGAGAAAGCCAGGATTAAAAGAAAAAAGGACCTAGACTATCTACAGTTAAACCTTAATAAACCACACATCGAAAGAATGTATCAAATGTCGTCTTGACAATTCTTCAATGGGTTTTATACTATTTTTTGTAAATGTTATAGTACTTGCGAAAACAAATAAATAGCCATAAATATGCCGGAACAGTTTTACAGAGCTTCAGATAATCATTTAACTGAAAAACTAAATATCTGCAACATTCCATTATCAGTAAGTGAATAAAACAACATTTGATGAGTTCTTTCGATGTAAGGCTTATTTAGGGTTTAACTGTAGATTGGTTGGACAGAGTTGAAAACATGTTGAGCGATGAAGAAAAAGCTCTGGTTGAGAGAAGAGAAGATCAAGTTTATATAGATAGGTTGTTGAGTAATGAAGATAAGGAAAGAATTGAAGCATCACTGAGTATTGATAAGTTTCTAGCATTACAAGAAGTGAGACAGAGCGGGTCAAAAGGATTAAAACAAGAAGTTAATTTTAGCACGATAAATATCATTCCGCGGGAAGTGAAAGAGCCTGGTTCAGAAAAGGAAAGTAAATCATCCACAGGAAGTTGAAGAAAGAAGACTGGTATCCATGTTACCAAAGGAACCAGAGTCAGGTCTAGAACTAGTATTTCAGGAGGAAAATAATAAGTCATCAGTCAATACACGCCGTATGCTTGAAGAAATACAAAGATGTCGATAACAATTTTAAAAGATTTGATGAATTATGTATGAGAATCGGATTATACCACAGAAGCAAGTATGAAGGAATTTATTCATGAAAGCTTCAAGATGGATGAAAATAAGATATTAAATCTAGAGAAGCATCAAGACCAAGAGAAGAAGAATCAAGATCAGGAGAAGCACCACGAGCAAGAACACTACACGATGATAAATATACTGAATATAAACACAGAGGAACAAACACCTAGAGCGGAAACAAAGTCGGGAGATATAAACACAGAAGCGGTGAATTATGTACAAAAATCAGATTACCAAACAGGGACACAAGCGTAGCTTTCTATCAAACAAGCTATTACCCAGGCTCTAAATACCACACAGGGACACAAGTGTAGCTTTCTATCAAACAAGCTATTAACCAGGCTCTAAATACCACACAGGGACACAAGTGTAGCTTTCTATCAAACAAGCTATTACCCAGGCTCTAAATGCCACACAAAACACAAGCGTAGCTTTCTATCAAACAAGCTATTACAAAGGGTCTAAATGCAACACAGAACACAAGCATAGCTTTACATCAAACAAGCTATTAACCAAGCTCTAAATGCCACACAGGGACACAAGTGTAGCTTTCTATCAAACAAGCTATTTCTCAGGCTCTTTTGAGATCTCATCCTGAATACTCAACGAGGGTTACAATTACTACACTGTAATCAAAGCAGAGTTATGATTCTGACTAATTTGTATTAAAGGTTTATAGGTTACAAGTTTAATTGATAGACGTACTTTCAATTCCTACGACGTTATCTATTTAGGCAAATCATGTTACATATTATAGCACAGCTAGAAATAGTCGCAATTTAAAATATATGTTATATATCACATGATTAAGCTAATCATGATATGTATTCATGTAGAACGCAGCTCAAATGAATAAATAGGTTTTTAAGTGCAAACAATGATGATTAATAATGTACAACGTACTGCAAATTTACAGAATATCATATTACATGATACTTATTACAAATGGATATTTATTACATCCCTGTGTGGCATTTGGAGCCTGATTAATAGCTTGTTTAATAGCTACCAAGATCGCGCCCAATGGTAGTGGCATTGATAGTTCACGGGATTGTAGCCTGGTGGATTGTGTTATGGTTGACTTTGATAGCGGACGGGTTGTACCTGGACTGATACAATTCGGGACGAAGTTTTAAGAGTACTGCATTTACTACAAGTATAGATTACCTAACAGCAATTGTTCCAATCACGTGATTATTATATTCTGCAATCAAAAATAATCTTTTCTTTTCATTTTCCAGATAGAACTTGCTGCAGAAATAACACTTTTTAACTTAAAAACTATTACAATAAAATTTTGTTGTCTTTTGAATAAAGTACATTGATGTTGACAAAGAAGCGGAATTTATTGACAATGATTAATTAAAGATCGTCTTTAGTCTTCAAAATAGTTTGCGGTAATAATTTCTCAACAGAATATATAAGTATGATTATACAATTACAAAATACTCCTAGTCCTGCCATTTCCAAAATGTGGTCTGCCTTTTTGTGTTCGTTCAAAATTAAATTTAGGATATTAGGTTGACTAAGGAATGACGCAAATTTTTTCAAAGATTACAGACGATTGTTAAATCTTCTGATTACTTTAATTCTTTCTCAGACGGGAAAAAATAAAATAAAGGTTTAAAAAATGTTTTCCTTAAGTTTGTTAAATCTTCTCCATTGCTGGAAAAAATGATGCTCATTTCTTTCCAGAATTTTTGAAACTGGACCTAAACAAAGATTATAATATAGAGTTATCATCACAGAGTTTTATATACTTTTGGGAGTTTTCTTTCAAGAATGAAAAAAGTTAAGGAATTGAGTCATTTAGATTTAAAATTACAACGCGCCTGTTTTTTAACCAAAGTTTCAAAGAAATAATAATAAAATGCTCCTCTATTTTTGCGTGCACATCTTGCAGTTGCCAGGGGTTACCTTGCAGTTGGCAGGGATTACCTTGCAGTTGGCAGGGATTACCTTGCAGTTGGCAGGGATTACCTTGCAGTTGGCAGGGATTACCTTGCATAGAAAGAAAATTGTCATTAGAATACACCCAGACACAGCCACTACAGGCAAATCAAACGGAAGACCTAAAATTAAATTAAATTATTATATTTTGAAGAATATTTTCTTAAATTTCTAAATAAGGCCGGAAGTTAAACAAATCCTATGTTTTCAATCTAATATAACTTTTGGAACAAAGAATTCTGCTAAATTAGACAGCCAAAGTTTGAAATATCAACAGCTTACGACATATGGCTGCAAATATGATTTCATTGGACTATTATATTATAGTTAGATGCAAGTTTAAAAAAAAGTTTTGCTAATAAATTAGGCTTTACCATGCTTTAAATGAGTATATGAGTCTTGGTAGGAATCATAATAATTTTATTTACTATTTATTTACCCTCCCAACGGCCAATGAGACCCCAGATTGTTATATATCGATAAAGAAGCTGACCTATTGTGATAATGATAAAGAAACTGACCTATTATTTTAACAATAAAGAAACTCACCTATTGTTTTAACGATAAAGAAACTGACCTATTGTTATAATGATAAAGAAACTGACCTATTATTTTAACAATAAAGAAACCCACCTATTTTAACGATAAAGAAACTGACCTATTGTGATAATGATAAAGAAACTGACCTAATGCTATAATGATAAAGAAACTGACCTAGATTGTTATAAAAATAAAACATGACCTATTTTAATAATGATAAAGAAACTGACCTATTGTGGAAATGATAAAGAAACTGACCTATTGTTATTATGATAAAGAAACTGACCTATTGTTATAATGATAAAGAAACTGACCTATTGCTATAATGATAAAGAAACTGACCTATTGTTATAATGATAAAGAAACTGACCTATTGTTATAATGAGAAGAATACTGACACCATAAGGTATAGGATTAGAGAAGAGAAGTTTGAGTTGTTTTCCCTGAAATGAATCATGAGGTTTTGCCACAAACTTTGCTCTTCTACTCCCTATAGCTTTGAAGCCCAGGTTGCAAAGATATAAGGATTTGAACATTTGAGTTTTTTTCTGTAGTTTTAAATCTTATATATCGAGTTGTCTGATTTTATACATAGTTATTTAAAACGCATCGGCCGACAAAAAAGTATAAAAGAGAATAAGCAAAATATATATTTAAATGGGTCAAATTGGGTTCGAAAGTAAGAGCTTGCTGGGATAGAGACTGTTTACTAAAAGCTTGTTCATTAATCAGAATGTAAGTGTAAACTATTATGCTCTACTTTATATCTAAAATGTGCAGTGCCCTTTTCATTAGTGACAATTCAAATTGGAAAGCAAAGTTTTAATTTGGATTTAAAATGTCAAAATCATACTTTTTTGGTGTAGAAGTTTATTCTCAATTTTGTAACTATCATACATTTCTTTAAAAAATCAATTAATTTGAAAATAAAAAGATATTTTTTTCGATGTGTGTTGTAATATTATCCCGCCCCCCACCCATTCTGCAAAAATTTATCAAAATAAATTTTTTATAAATAACTTTTCCATTAAGTACAAGATTCTTCGTTTAAGATAAAATATTTTTACATGTTCTTCTGTTTTCATATCTGCTTGAACTTTGGTAATAAACTGCAGGATTTTAGTCTCATCCTCTCTCTTCATAATTCTACAGAAATATAATAATATTATTATTAATAATAATAATAATAATAATAATAATAATAATAATAATAATAATATTAATAATAATGATATTACAGAGACACACGAAGAGTGACTGTAAGCACAGTAGTAAGCAGGGTCCTCCTGTCAGAGGAGCCAGTTCACAACCAGGTATATAGTTTGCACAGACAGACACTCACACAAGTGCTCAAAAGGAACTGAGTTTTTGCCACAAATTCTGAGCTTCTAATACATATATCATTGCAACCTAATAGTGTAAACCTTAAATATTTCAAACTATCATTATGTGATCTAAAAGAATTCTTAGTTTGAAATATCAAAGCTCTCCGATTTTGAATTGGGATTAGAAAATCCGAGTTTGTTGCAAAAACTCAGTTCCTTTAACATATAACTATCTACAATTTAAACATTAATATTTATCTTGATCAGAAAACCGCAAACTCAAAAGCACAAAAATTTTGATACGCGTGACATTTAAACATTTTTTTAATGTACGGCGATTTAGATTCCCTGGTTTAATAGGTAATCAGCATTCGATTTCAATCCCTTTAAATGTCAAGTTTGAGGATTTTGTTTCTTTTACTGTTGTTTTCAATTTCATGCTTGCCGTGCACATTTTGAATATCAAAATATAAAATATCATTCAGTCCAAACAAATCAGTTTTGCTTCTCATGCAATTAATGTTACTTTTTCTTTGAAGAGCCAACTTTCTAGTTATTTTAACCTTGGTTTTTGATTTTCACTCAAATTTATTATCCATTTTCATTTTTTTCTTTCATGATTTGGTTTCAGTATTAGGGTTCGTACAACTTTTTGTTTGTTTTTGTATGAAAAATCGACTTTCCAATGCATTAGAAGATACTCCTTTTAGAAGATCCAATCTTCAGAGACCACACAGGATTCACTATCATCAAACTCGATAACTTCCAGGGACTTTGCAACTAAGGGCCAACTTCCAGGGACCTCGCACATTGGGGTTCAGTACAAGGGACCTCGCACATTGGGGTTCAGTACAAGGGACCTCGCACATTGGGGTTCAGTAAAAGGGACCTCGCACATTTGGGTTCAGTACAAGGGACCATTCATACGTAACATTTGGTTTTATTTCCCGTTCAGTCGTCAAAAGTCTAAATGAATACAGTACAACTTGCTTTCGCTGCCTGAAAGTCGGCCCTGTACTTGAAACTAACAGGAGTATTTATTTCACAAATCCAGGAATATTAAACATTGTGATTTATTTCCAGAAACCGCTCAAACAGGGATTTACTTTTACGGACTCTAGTAATGATAGGATTTCGTCCTTTATTTTTTCATAGTCAGTTGTGTGAGTCATAAGTCTCTTTTCCCGAACTTGTGAGTACCAGTGTGCACTCCAATCCACTTTTCGGCTAGTGTAAAGCTTAACTTCAGAGATCTTACTAGTTTCACACACTTTTCCACCCCAACCTACACTAATTAAGAAAACTACTATCTTTATAATACCAGGACGACCAGGAACAGCTGACGGTGCACTTTCTCCTATTCCTGATGTATCCCCTAGTCTTGAAGCGGCAGAAAGTTTAGGATTCAATGTAAGTCAATTTTTCGTAATTATGTTAATTGTCGTTTGAGCTTTTTTGAAAAGTGCTATTAACAATTTTAAAACTGACAACCAAAAAAAGGCTTTTACAGAATAAACATGAGAGTTTTGAAATTTACTAGAAAAATGTTCTCCCTTATTAAATTCTTCAGAGTTCGCGATTTAAAAATTACGACTCGAGCCGAAGCTTTTAAATCGCGGGCTCAGGTTAATTTTGTATAATATGAAGTAGTTTATTAGGGTTTGTAAAAAACAATTACTTTTAAGTATTTATTTTACATAGTGTACATGCGTGAATTTTGTATTTTATTTTGGATTCTACATATGGTCTTAATTCTGCAAATACCAATACATTCTAGATGTGAAAATAGTACATGTGTACAAAGGAATTGAGTCTTTGGAACAAAATCAAATATTTAAACCTCAATATCTTTAGAACCCGAAGTTGGAAACCTTTGATATTTCAAACTCAGATTATTTGATTTAACAAAATTCATAGTTTGAAATATCTACGGTCTCCAAAATTTGGTTCCAAAGATAAAGTGATTAGAAAATCAGACTTTGTGGCGAAAACTCAATTCCTTTACACAATATTTTATTCACGCAACCTCGAAAAGAATATAGAAATAGAAAATTTATTTTGACAAAAATGAGAGTATCTTTTATCATTTTTTGTCTTTCAATTTAAACCCTTTTTTGTGATGGGGTATCCCTCACTCTGGTGTTCTTTTCTGGTATGTCTCTTTTTATTTCTTGAATAATGAATCTTTTTTAAATTAAATGTTCCAAGGAATTGTTCACGTAAGCAACTTTTCTTTGTGAATTGTGAATTTCGGCAGGACGGGAGGGATTAGATTAAAGTCTCGATGGCTTCAGAAATAAGTCTTGATTTGGGTAAAGGCTTCTAATGGTAGTGAGAGGGTGTGTGTGAATGTGTAAGGATGGGTGGGGGCATAAATATATTATCGGAAGGAATACCAATATGGACAGAGAAACTATACAGAATATAACCTAGAAATATATAAATACATGAATATAACTTCTGTTCTTCAGAATATTTACAGTTTCTATTCCCACAAATAAATATTAAAATGTTTTTCAACAAGCAACATAAAATCAAAGTTTTTTATTTCAATCAATGCAATTGCATTTTATCTGGTTCTAGTCTGAGTGACTGGCCTTGTTTCTAAGGTTATACAGATTTTGTCATGTAAAACTAGCAAACCTCAACTTGAAACCCCGTTTTACCGGCCGACAATAAATGTCAATTTTTCCTTTTCATGCAATTGTTCGCCACCGTTTTGAACACATTTTTGGTTTCTGAGTTTATACCGATACAGCAAAGAAAATCAGAGATTAGTTTTTGTCGCGAATGTCTGCTTACCTAAATATCTTTTCTTCATAATATTATCTTACTAGCCCTTGGAATTTTGAAGAAAAAAATTTAGATTTCGAATTTTTTTAAAAGCCTATCTAACCCCTAGGGTACCCGTGAGTTCCTCAAAAAAGTTCAGTTAATTCGGTCCAGCCGTTTAGCCAGCTATAGTTAACATATATATACACCCAGTGGTTCGTAGATCCTTTCGATTACCACACTTCTGTTCACTCAGTCATATTTATCAAATTATCGAGGAAATGGGTTTAAAAGGTCAACAACCGTCTATGGAATTGTAAAGGGGGGGGGGGTCCTGAGCATCAATCAATACGGAATTGAGTTTTTGTCACAAACTCTGATGTTAAACTCCCTATATCTTTACAACCAAATGTCCTAGTTTTTAGATATTTCAGACTGTGAATTCTGATGGATAAAATAATTTAAGTTTGAAATATCAGAGGTTTACATCATCTGGTTGTAGAGATATAGGTATTAAAAAATCGGAATTTGTGGCAAAGACTCAATTCCTTTATGAAACGTCTTAACATAATTTCTCTAGGGTGTGATTGAATCTTCCCTCCACTCGGTATATTTTTTTTATGCTTAATACTTATGAATATTTTAGAAATATATCGTGCAAACTAGTTTAAAAACTGTTACTGAGATGTTGTCTTTGTAATATAATATTAATGAGCATTTTTGAATTGGAGATAGTCTAACCAGTGTCCCAATTTAATGAATGTGAGCCGAGTCTCAAATCCGCCAAAAATCGGTTTCATTGAGCGCCGGCTTAAATCTTGAAACATTAAGTACAATTTTAAGTGAAACCAACCATTTAAGCCGCGTCTAAAAAATATATAATAATATCCGTTTTTATCTGCTTTTAAAACTCTCTATAACTCTGCAAGTAAATCAGGGATTCGATAAATTGTAATCCCAATTATTTTAGACACTTTTCGTAAACGGCATGAGTCTCAAAGACTTCTGAAACAAAAATATCTTGTATGTACATCAGTGCCCTCCACACGATAAAAAATAAACAGACAACTAAAAAATTTTCTTGCGAAACTACTCATTTTTATTTTCAACAAAAATACTAAATGTGACGTGCCATTGGAATTTCTTCAATGATATGCAAATTAAAATTATTATAATTTCAAAAAACCTGTAAAAAGAAGTTTTATTACAATTTTATTAAAAATTTTATATTATCCGTTTATTAATCTTTAAAGGAACTGAGTCTTTGCCACGTACAAGCTAAAACTTTTTAACCCAAATATGATTGCAACCTAAGGGTTTAAACCTTTGATAGTTCAACCTTAGATATTTTGATCAAACAGAATTTATAGTTCGAAATATCTAATTTATAGTTCGAAATATCTAATTTATAGTTCGAAATATCTAATTTATAGTTCGAAATATCTAATTTATAGTTCGAAATATCTAATTACGCAACTTTATTAAAAATATTCAAGTTAATGTTCAAAGATCTATCTCATTTTCAATATTAATTGAACTGAAAAAATGGGTTAATTGATAATAAAGTTGGTGTTTACTTCTTCTAAAAAAAATATTTGAAGAATAAATTAAATAATTTTGTGTTTTCTGTTTTTTGATTTGTTTTAAAAAAAGGACCGAACTGAGATGCCCAAATTTTGAGAAGTCTACCATAGTAAATCTTTTTCCAGTAAAATAATAATCCCAATTTCTTTAATTAAAAGTTTGCAGAGCCGACATGTTAATTTACATAATTATCTAGAGGGATGTAAAATACCATCCCAGTACAGAAGTGAATCATGGGAGACCATTCATGATATCTATCTTCAGGGGGTAAATATGCGGGCGGTATTTGGTTGAATTTAAATAATTAGTTTAAGAGAATTTGTTTTAGTGAAAGCGTGGTCGCGTTTCTTAACTCTTAATATATACAGTAGCTGTATACATTTTACCGCATAAGAAAACCTTACTCCAGTTCTGGCATCGGGTGCAATTTTTTCAAGAACTGTTAATCCTTAATACAATTAATATTTTCTTCATGATTAAAAACGGCCAATAAAAAGCAGAAAATTTTTTGAAAAATAAACGGTAAGATGAGTAAATTATCCAAATATTAGTAAGCAAATATCATGAATAATTAGAATATTAATAGACCCCCCTTCCGCCCTCCCCCACCACTGATCACCATCTGGTGAAAATATTGAGTTTTATGTCCTCCCGAGTATATTAGTTTGAAGCTAGCTCAGTTCTACTACAGAGTCCAAACCTAACAGCTCTGCTAAGGTTGTATCAAAGAAAATGCTTTAGTTTGGTACAATTTTCATTTTCAAAAAAACAAACAATTCACAATACAATTTGGTCGGTAAGGCATCCAGAACGGGCAAAATTTGTGATTGAAATATTTTCATAAATTAACTAAAAACATAAAGTCAATGAAAAATATTCTACTATTATAAATATTTTTATCTGAATAATTATAAATGTTTTTATCTGAATAGTAACTGATAATATTGAGATTATAGAACAAAAAAGTAATCTAAAAAAATCTTGTTCTACTGCAATTTGGACTAACTGAAGCCTTTAGACGGTAAGTAAATAAGAAAGTCCATTTGTAAAGTTTATGGTGGAAGGAATTATCGTATTATAAATTCCATAAATTATTCCGCTCAATAATAAGGAGTCCAGTCCTGGTACTTGTTGAAGTGAACATTCATTTGTCAAATAAAAATATTTCAAGGCGAAATTATTAAAAAATTTATTTTTTAAGCTAACGATAAAAGATTAATACAAAATTAATTCAAAAGGCGGAGGGATTCGGAAGTTCATAAAAAATCAGATTAAAATAGAATAAAAATAAAATTAGTTTTGACTATCCCTAATGAGTTCTCATAGAGTAGGCATGTCTGCAAAAATGTTCATTACAGCTTTGATTATGTTAAAAATTGATGGCAGAGCAGACTTAGACACGAGTCTCTTTCCTTGAACAATTAAATAGTTTATATAGCTTGATTAGGAAAAATTTTCATTACAAATAATGACTGGTTATAGTCATTTTCGATAAAAAAAATTGTTTTTTTTTGGTTAAAATAATGAGAATTTTTGACTAAAATTATAACCATTTTTGACCAGAAATATACACAGTTTTGACCAAAAATATACACAGTTTTGACCAAAAATATATGACTTTTGGCTAAAAATATAGCTACCAAAAACATAACGTAACAGACCAAAAATATAACCATGTTCGACCAAAAATAAGTTTTTTATCTGCCTGGTCAATGTATGCAAAGACTTTCTTCCTACTCTCTTTTAGTTAAATATACCCACTCATGTCTATTAAAGTGTCAACCTCTTTACGGCTTTTATTTAATAAAAAATCAGAGGGATCACAGTTAAAAATCAGAGGGATCACAGTTAAAAATCAGAGGGATCACTGTTAAAAATCAGAGGGATCACTGTTAAAAAATTAATAAAATTGATTTTCATCATTAGAAAAACGTTTATGGGTTAAATTTCAAGTTAATAATGTTTTTATTTTTGGTAAAAAAAAATTATATTTTTTAAGTTATGTTTGTATGTTTTGGATAAAAAATTGTTGTATTTTTGTTTAAAAATGATTATATATTTGGTTAAAAATGGTTGTATTTTTGGTTAAGACTGGGTTTATATTTTGAGATAAAAATTGGTTATATTTCTGCCTAAAAACTTTCATATTTTTGGATAAAAACAGTTGTATTTTTTGTTAAAAAAAATTTTATTTTTGGTTAAAAATGGTTGTATTTTTGTTAACAAAATGAGTATATTTTTAATAAAAAAAGGTTATATATTTGATAAAAATTTGGTTAAAAAATGTTTATATTTTTGGAAATAAATGGTTATAATTTTGGTAAATAAATGGTTGCATTTTGGTTAAAAAATGATTATATTTTTTTGCTAGCTATATTTTTGGTTGTTCATATTTTTGGCTGGTTACATGTTTGGTATTTATATTTTTGGTCGTTATAATTTTTGGTGGTTATATTATTAGAGTTATGTTTTCCCCGCTCATCTAAATCCTGGGGGTCTAAATCTATGCATAGCCTTGGGGGGGGGGGCGTCCCAAGAAGCCCCCCCCCCACCCTAGAAAAGGGCCTTAGAGAATAGATATAGGGTTAAATGCATGTTCTTAGCCCAATTGTTCAAGGCCAAATTTTAAACAAATATAAAGATGTGATACATGTTTCTACACATATTTTTCAAGGACTTTTTACCGCCCTGTACCTTACTCTATTGCATTAAAAAATTGTACAAAAAACTTTTAAATTTCTATTCATTAAAAGTAAAAAAATTTACCGATGATAGTGTTTAAAATGAGAGTGCTAGGGCAAACAAACAAACGCCCCACCCCATTCTATTTAGGGTTAAATAACTCCAGAAATGGAATCATTTGAAGAACAGTATTTCACAGAGCAAAGCTTGTAACGCCAAGAATTGAAGAAGGATTAATCCAAATTTAAATTGTTCCCTACACAAGTCATGTACACCGCACAATGTTCACAAATCTATAAATATAAAATATACATCAAACATCTGTTTACAATTTTTATCTATCAAGTTAAGAAATGTCGTCACATTATATCTTTTAAGGTATATGTGTATAAATATATAAGTCCATATGCTTTTTATGGTTCTATAAATTGAATATTTAAAGGTATGATTTTTAAGTTGCGTTTTTTTTTGTCCATCTTGCAATATTTTGTTGCTAACTTTTTCCCCTCTTCTAAAATCCTTTAATTGAACATTTTTAGAACCCTTGAGTAGTCCTTTTTCATTTTCCTAGACATAAATATTTCTTATCTGGAGTGGTCACTTTGCTGCAAGGGAAAATGAAAAATCTCAAATATAATCACAATCTCTTAAAGTTTTGTTCGTCTCCGACTCAACTTTATAAAAATTAAACGCAACGTTTTTTTCTTTCAAAATGTTAAAACTGGCATTTAAAAAAGTTGAATCATATATCTAATATTATAAGTTATCGGCAAATGTCGTATTTGCTAAAGGTGTGACGGTTCGGAATTTAACCCTGTGTGGGTTATAGAGCTAAGCATTTCCATTTTCTGCTTTTACAAAGGCCTGTATGATTATTAGACTGTCCCGTTCCGACTTGGAAGGTTTTTGGTACAGTACTACTTGGTGAAACTGTCCTAGGGTGGTTTTGTACCGGGCCGTTAAAACAGATGGGGGAGGTGGAACAAACTTTGAGATTCTCGGAGCGCACTGACACGGACACTGGTGCTGTACTGGACTGAACGGTATAATTCTGGCAATTGTACCGGCATGTCCTCAATTGGTGGGTCCAAGTCAGGCAGTATACAGCCTCCAGGGTCTGGAGGCTGCTTTGCGGATATCTGCAGACACGCTCAGTGGTGTGGCTGGGCAGCCTCTGGCCTCTAGTTCAACAAAACATAGCCATGATTGATTTTACCTAAGTTATTGTGATAAATAGTGAGTTTTATTACAAGTTAGTGTTTGTGTTTGTAGATTTTATGGGGTAAACGCGTATTGTGTTGTTTGTTCTGATTGCATCGCCGTGGACATTAGACTAAAGTGATATTGAATAAATATGTTTAACTATACCCTGTAACCCAAGTGAATTCTATTGCTGTTGTATTATCACAATCCCTGCGTTCTGCTGCTCTGCTGTTATGCTGTTCATATTTTGAAAAATCTTAGAATTTTTGTTCATTCAGTTTGTGTACGGTATATCCGCTGCTAATATTAACACTTTACTGCCATCTGTATCTGAATACAATTGTCATCTGTAATAGTTGCACCAAAGCTATCTAGTTCATCAAATTGTTGTCAAGTACATAAAAAAAACTCAAGCTTACCAGAATCCAAGATAAAATACCAAGGTACACTTGAAGATGTATAGCTAGATATTTAGAATATTTACTTAGACAGACTAAGTGCAATACATAAAAAAAACACACATAAAGTAGATACATGTAGTATGGTACCTTAGATGATCTTCTAGAGTAGATATCATGATCTATTATGTACTATTCTCGTCCTTTTAAGCACCAGGATCGAGGACGAGAAAGAGGACGATCCTACGAAGAACATCGTGGACGAGGACAGGACGATCAAGACGAATCTATTTCAGGAGTTCTCAACAACTTTTCTAAAGCTCTAGGTAGATTAATATTAACAATATTTTCGTTTCACTCAAATATTATTATTTTTTTTTACTTTAAAAACTACAGGGACCGAGGAGGTTATCTCTTAGTTTTTCCTTCACTATTGTGAACAAATGAACAAAAACTATTCGATTAAGTTGCAATTGACATAACTGAAATTTTCGCTTTTTTTCATACTATATACAAAACTTAAATATGTTCTAGCTAACGTTTGCCTCATTAAACTCTTCGCTATTCAGTTTTCTGTTAAAATTAACATTCTATTTTTGTGAGAATGCTTTCTTATTATAAAATCAAAAATACAAACTACTGTACTGCAGAAAATAAGAAAATAAATTTACCTTTAAAATTATAAAGGCATATATGTTTTTAATTTATTTAATAATGACCAATTGATGAAATGTATTTTTACAAAGGAATTCAGTCTTTGCCACAAACTCTGATATTCTAATCCCTATATCTTTTCAACCTGATGTCGTATACCTTAGATATTTCAAACTATAAATTTTGTTATATAAAATAACTTGTTTTGCAATATACACGAAAAACATATCATGTTTTGTAAAAATTAACTTAACGGTATTCCAAAAGGCAAAAACTTCAAACATGGGGAAAACTAAAAAAACTGAAAGTACAAAATTGTTATGAAAAAAACTTCCGTTTATGTAAATCTTTAAAAGCTACAGAATACCATACACAGGATATCAGCTAAAATAAGGATTTTTGTTTGGACCCCTTTCCATTTTTTATCATATCCCTATCATTCGTAAAAAAATTTAGAAAAGGTTATTTAGATGATTTTTTTGATTGCATAGAACGAGTGAAAGGCAAATCGTGGTTCAAATAAAAGTAGCGTAAACATTGTAAATGATAGCAAAACAAGCAAATATCTTGCAAAAATAATATATTTTTACATTTTTAACGTTCTTTGTGAGTTTTTTTTTCTAAAACATTGAAATAAGTCCTTTTTTTCGAAAATGAACTATTCTTTATAATATGCCAATCACCTCTCTATTTTCTTTTTATATGTGGGGGGGGGGGGGGGGGAGGCCCAGTGTTTATGTTAAACATTCTGTATTTTTGTTTATTGCATTAAACTAAATATATTAACTTGGATAAGAACGAACTGCTTATTAGAACAAGTATTTATTTATAAACATTATAAATGCTGTTGTAGCAGCAGCAACTAAACTATGTCCCGGTTGGGCTATTTTGTTTTCAAATGTAAGATAGGAGAAATGTATAAAGAGAGGGGGGGGGAAGGGAAACATTTAACCTTAAAAGTTAAGATACGGGAGTGTGATACATGTCATAAGCAGGGGCGTTTTCAGAAATTTGTCAAGGGGGGGTTAATTTTTTTCTTTCGGGGGGGGGGGGGGGTCAGAACAAATTTGGGCCCAAAAAAACCTGAAAACCAAAATTTTCAACCCCATAGCCCCCACTCCTGAATACGCGTCTGGTCATTAGTCAAACTTTTCAAGGCCCCCTTGAGTAAAAAGAAAAACTGTATCTCTGACTTTCATGGTTAGAGGTTTATAAGAAAATTTAACATTACAAATATTATTTATTTAGGAGATATCAGAGAGATTAGAGAGAAGCGGATGCAAAGTAAGTTTGTCAATAAAATTATTATTATTGTGATAACCTTTCCAAATTCAATTATTGTTTTTACCAAAAATAGAAAGTTTTTGTCGATGAATATCAAATGTAAGAAAACGTAAAATGAATTGAACAAATTTATTTATTTCTTAAGTATTGCAGTTCTTGGAAAGATATTTTTAAACCAATGTTTTTGTTGACAATTTTAAAACTGTGTCAAATTTGCGCCAACCCGTTAGACAGTTTATAACAAATAACATATTTCCTGAGTATTCTGAGGAGACAATTTATTAGAGTAATTGACTTAGTCGCCCCAAACAATCTAGAGGGGTTGTTTATATTTTACTTGAGACTTATTAAGACAGCTCAGGAACTAGTTTTATTGAAAACAATAGCAAAGATTGTGATCAAATTGCCTCTGTTTTTTTTCTATTACTTCATAGTTTTTACCAGCAACAAAATTAGGTGTAATTTTAAAACATTTTTCCTCCTTAACAAAGTTTTGTTCTAGGTTTGGGCCCGCTTGTAAAACAATCCGAAGACTCAAAGAAAAGTATGAACGGACCAAATCAATTTCAACAAAATCAGCACCACAATCAACAACAACAACAAATGCAAAGATTTCCCCAACAAAACCAGCAACAACCTTACAACAATCAACAACGTCAACAGCAGTATGGACAAAACAAGCAGCAGCAACAACCACAATATGGACAGCAACAGCAGAACTATAGACAGCAGCAGAACTTTCAACAGTCAGGATTTCAACAGCAACAGCAAATGGTACGGCCAAGACAGTCTTATGGGCAAAATAATATGGGTTATAATAATGGGTATAGTTCTAACAATATGCAAAATATGCAACAACAATCAAATTTTTCTAATTATTCAAATCACCAACCGCCTGATCTTTATCAAAACATGCAGAATTTTCAACCCCCACAACCCCAATATATGCAGCAACAGCCTGTTATACAACAGCCAGTTGTTCAACAGTCTGTTATGCAACAACCCGTTATGCAGCAGCAGCAGCATTTACAAACAGGCTTGGTTGTGCAACAGCCGGCGGTTGTACAACAGCCAAATATTCTTTTAGCCCAAGGTAATGCGCCCCAACCCCAACCTACTTATGTATATACATCAAATCAAAACCCTTTTCTTCAGCAGCCTCCACCACCTGCTGGAACCATTCTGCAACAACCTCAGCAACAAGTACAGCAAGTATCGCAAACATCCGGAATTGTACTGGCTCATCAACCAGTACAACAACAACAACTTGTTCAGCAACAGCCTGGTGTACAGTTGATGCAGGTACCACAACAGACTGGACAACCTATTGTTATATACTCCTCTGCTGAACTGACCGCTCCAACACCTGCCCTCATATCCGCCCCTACACCCTCGCCTCTTGTAGTCAACAGCTCTATTCCAATGTCTTCCACTGCGTACACGTTCGACCCATCCAGTCTCTCCGCCTCTCAGCAGCTGGCACTAATACAGTCCCAGCAACAGCATCAGCAACAACACCTCAAGAAAATGCGTCAACGTTTACCCCATGTAAGTGGTCGTGAATTACAAACGCTACATAAACAAATAAAAGATTTACAACACAAACAACATCAACAGACTTTGCAAACCCTGAGACTTGCACAAGTTCAGGAAAAACAGGCTTTTAAGTACCTTGACTCGGCGCTTAAAACCCGCCAAATGCCGAAAAATTCTTATTCGCATTCGGCGCATCGGGTTGTGGGGTTCAACATCAAGGTAGGAAAATTATTTTTATCTATTGCAGTATTTAGTAAAAAAAATATTATATTTTGCAATTAGTTGGTATTTTTTTGAGGGAGGGGGTGAATGGGCCTTGGCAATTGCTTAGGCACTTTTATTTTGGAAGCAAAATTATGAAATTTTAATTTTTAGATGGCCACGCCATTTAAAATTTGAGGCAATATATTTTTATTATGTGTGATGGCATTGGTGTATCATCGTTTTTGAATAATATGCCAAAAGAATCTTTGACTTGGAGAAAATCAATCTTTTTTTCTAGATTGGATTGTTTAAATGATATAGAGAATCAAAGTTGTGCCAAAAATTAGTTTTGCATACATATTCTTTACCTTTACTGTACATACTTTCCTAACAGTAATCTCCAAAATATCTTCAGGATCATTTTTAAATTCTTGAAATATTAGTCGGAATAAGAGGTCTTATTCTTGATGTTCTCAGAAAAGGGCAATGGTTTGTTAAAAGTGAGAAAAATGCACGATTTATTAGTTTTGTCAAATATTTAATCATGCCTAAGTCGTTCAAAATAGTCCAAAAAAGAAGATTCACATTTTGAAATGATTTGACCATTAAAAAGTGGCATGAAATATATTTGACTTTGTGTTTAAATCAGTTTGTGTAAAATCCCCATCTATTTGTTTCTAACTTGCTTTAACAATATGAACATTCTGAGCTGAAACCATAGAACTGAAAATGCAAAAAATAACAAATATCGACTTATAATCTTTCTTCCAGTAGGTCGACACAATCTTAAATAGTCAGATGGGCTCAATGCTTTTAACATGCTGTAAAGACTATATAACCCCAATGATCCTAGTTCTTTCACCTTTAAGAACTTTTTTATCCACTATTTTTCCCCCTCTCTAATTTTAATTCTCCTTATCCTTCTCTATATTCGAGTCTGTATCATACTTTCTTCTATAATGCAAAATTGTCAGCGTTTGGTACTAAAATTTGAGATAGAAAGGAGGCTTTAATTTTACACAGCTTTGAATTTTGGTAATCTTCACGGACGACGAGGAAAATTTGGAATCGGAGGTCATTGACCTCCATTTTTACCTTCATAAACGAAGACGTTTTCTTCCTGATCCCTGTAGTATAATAAAATTAGAGACTGCATGCAAAATTTCAGCCTATTATTTAATTTGCTTAGGACCTAACGCAGCCTCTACAAAGTTTGGTGTTACTAAGTGTTGAATTGGCAAAACATCTTAAATATTTTCTAAAATGCGCACGAGTGCACTTTTGCTTTGATTTCCTTAAAGCTGACACTATTGGGTACACTATAGTATCCAGAGTTTACATGAAAAAAATCAGTGTCCTACACGTTGCTAAGTTATATTTTTTTTCAAACATAAATGACAAAAATTGCAACCCCCTACTGCTAGTTGCTATGCCTTTTGACCCTTAACAGACTCGCCCCTCTAGTTTTTTTTTTGACTATCACTGTAATGTTTGACACTATCACCTTGAGTTTTGGACTATCACTGTAATGTTTGACACTATCACCTTGAGTTTTGGACTATCACTGTAATGTTTGACACTATCACCTTGAGTTTTTGGACTATCACTGTAATGTTTGACACTATCACCTTGAGTTTTTGACTATCACTCTAATGTTTGACACTATCACCTTGAGTTTTGACTATCACTGTAATGTTTGACACTATCACCTTGAGTTTAAGGAATAGAAATACAAAGGATTATTTTGTAATTTTTTTCAACACATAGGGAAGGGCACAGCACATGGCGGTAAACCGTTTTTTGTTTCGTTTTCAATCGTTTCGTTTATGGAAAAAACGATCGTTTTTAAAAACGACCCACTCGTTTTGAACTTTTAGAAAACGAATAACGATCGTTTTAGAAAACGATCGTTTTTTAAAAAACAATTTATGACCGTTTTTTATATAATTGTTTTTTTTAAAAACGGTCGCTTTTGAGAAAAGATCGTTTTCGAAAAAAAATGTTATTGAAAATTATGTTACCAATCGTTAACGAAGGGTCTTCGTCAACGATCCTCAACAAAGGGTTGTCGTTAACGATCGTTAACGAAACGACGAACTTTATAAAACAGTCGTTTATGAAAAAACTATCGTTTTTGTAAAAAAATTACATGCAACTTTATTGAATGTCGTCTTACACGAAGTTAAAAAGTTCTTAATATTTTCTTAAAAACTACTCAATGATAAGTACAGATGCCCTTCAGGTTGGTTTCCTCTCTTCTTTAACGATCGTTAACGAAGGTTCGTCGTTAACGATCGTTAACGAATGATCATCTGATCGTCCTTAACGATCTTTAACGAATGATCGTCGTTAACGATCGTGAACGAAATGACGATTTTTATAAAAAAGGATCGTTTTGAAAAACGATTGTAACTTATAAAGATCGTTTTTCAAAACGATCGTTTTAAAAACGACTATTTTTAAAAAACGAACTTTTTTAAAAAACGATCGTTTCGTTTTTAATTTTTAGTCGTCGTTTTAAAATCGAAAAGATCGTTTTCAAAAAAATGAAAACGTTAACATCCTTAGTCACATCTTAATATTTGTCAAAAACAATCAAAATAACTTTTACATATTTCCGACCTTTTCTTTGACATTTTTTTCAAAATTCTGACCCTATTCTGTATTGGGCTAAATCTACTGTGACCCTCTTCCCTTCCCCCTTCTGATGACTTAGTGAACGGAGAATAAGTATACTTGGTTCCCAAATAGTAAACCAATCATCTTCCTGGCCTCCATATGAACTAACTTTTATATGCCCTGTAGGAAAATATCAGTCCTTGACACATTTTCTTTTTATCTAAATGCATACTTTGCTTGTCTGGGTGTTTGTTTGTATCCAATAAACGCCAACCGTTGAACCGATCTGGGTGTTTTTGGGGGACCTCACATGAAGGTTTATGGATGATCAAACTTTCAAAAATTGGCCTCCAAGAAAATTCGATTTCATTAAATTTTGAAAGTCCACGAATTTTTTTTTATAAAATCCGCGAACTTTTTTGTTCTATTTTACAATGTAAACACAAATAAAATACACAAAGATTTTCACTTTTGTAAGAAGTTTTTTTCTTGTTTAGAGTTCTTTTAATGAATATTCTATTTCTTCTTTAGAGGAAAAATCGGAAAACTTATTTACAAAATGATCCATACAAATTAGTATGTTTAAATTTGTGAATTTTATAATATATTAGAATTTTCTTTACGATACCATATTGGGACAGGGCCGGGGTGAGGTGAGCTAAAACGAAAAAATGAACTCTAAAATTTTGGATTTATTTTTTTTCATATGAAAGATTAAACGCTAGATAGCAAGTGCCTTGTAGTAACTTAAAAAATAAGGACTGTAGCAATAACATTTTAAAACTAGTTTCAAAAATACTGTTTTTAAAATTTTATTAAATTTGGTCGAATTTTTTATTTTACATTGCCGGGAACTTTTTCTTTACCACCCTCCACCTGGCTTTCCGCTCTTAACTTAATAACCAGTTGCTGCAACCACAACGTGGACGAAAACTTTTACATGGGTGCTCAAAAAGATTTTAACCTCTAAAAAATATTGAATTTTAACATTTTTTTCTATTGTGAGGTCAAACTCATTAAAATATTTACTTCATTCCTCACTCCCCACCCACTTTCTTGAAAGCATTTGGCTACACTTCACCCTGATGAATATTTTCGGGATTAAAGATCTGTGGTACATCATTAAAAATCTTATTCTAAACTTAAAGCCGATTTTCACGTCTGAAAATTTATTTTAAATATTTTTTTTCAAAGAGCAAAATTTCTTTAAGATAAAATTTTTCACCAATTCAGCACCTTATGTTTTTGAAAATTAATACTTTTTTAATTCTATGTGATTTTTTGTCTATTTTAATCTAAGAAATCAAAAAACATAAATTTTTGTGTCAAAATATGAATTTTTAGTTCTACTCTATTTCAATATATTTCATGAGGATATTAAACCTCTTTCATATTTTTTTAAATACTCAAATTTATGATCGGAAAATTTCATTCTTTCTGGAGTACCGTTGACAAATTAAATTTTTTTTAAAAAAGAACTCGAGATTCTTTGCCACAAAGACAAATTTTCGAATCCAAATAGCTTTGCAACTAGATGGTTGATATTTCAAACTTAGATTATTTGATCTACTAGAATTTGTAGTTAGAAATATCTAAGGTCTACGACATTGGGTTGCAAAGATACATTTAGAAAATCAGAGTTTGTCGCAAAGACTCAACTCCGTTACTTTTTAGAAAAAAAGACATACAGTGAAACCCTTAATAACGAATACATCGAAAGAATTCATCAAATGTCGTATTCTTCACTTTCTAATAATGGAATGTTGCAGATATTGAGTTTTTTAATTAAATGATTATATGGAACTCTTTAAATTTGTTCCCGCATATTCATGGCTTTTTATTTATTTTCGCAAATACTGAAATTTACGTAATATAGTACTGGGTGTCCCACGAAACATGACAGTATGCAGGACGACTTGAATGTCGTCTTGATTTTTGATATAATTTACTGCGTTTATTTGTCAATCTAATTTTAGAAGTAAATTTCTAGAGATAATAATCACAAAATTTCCCTTGTCCTGCCATTTCCAAAATGTGGTCTGCCTTTTTTGTGCTTTCAATATTGCCCGAGATATGAAGAATTTCGTTCAGATTTCGACAATTTTGCTTTTATTTAACAAAATTGAAATCTGAACCAAACTCTTTATATCTCCGGTAATATTGAAAGCACAAAAAACGCAGACCACTTTTTGGAAATGCCAGGGCTAGGAGAATTATGTGATAATTGTTTCAAGAATCATACATGTTAAAGTAGATAGAAGACTAAATGTCACAAATAAATTCAAATACCAAAGACGACTTTCAAGTCGTCTTCCTATTGTCATGTTTCGTGGGACACCCTGAATAAGACTCATTGAAAAATTGTCAAGACGACATTTGATAAATTCTTCCGATGTATTCGTTATCAAGGTTTCAGTTTGGATTTACCCCTCCGGGCACACATCCTTGAATTCTGCCACCCCTACGCAATGTCAGAACGACCCTATGATTTAGTTTGTATTAATTCTTTCTACGAGTTGGGAAATGAAGAGAGACCACGAGGGATGAGATATTAGAAAACAAAAGTGGAAAGTTTATTCAATTTAGAGTTGTAGATTGGACATTTGTACTAATTTATTTTTAACTTGAAAAAAATATTTTATTTTGTCTCTCTATTAATTGAGATTTCTTGTTGTATGCTGAAGTACGGTACTTGTGCACTGTTAAATCATTTTATGCTTCTATTCCTTCTATAAAGGTGTTATCTTCTTGGTGTGATAAAGTGTTTTCTAGATGTTCTCTCCTGTCTATTTCTCTATTCTTATCTTCAACCTAACTTTTCATATTTTCTAGCTAACTGAAAATATTATTTTTCTGGAGAAAAACCATTAACTACATATGCATATGCAGGAAAGTTTATATTAAATCAGATTCATGTCTCGTATTACCCAGAGTTTGATTTACTTTTCTATTTTTTATAGAGTCGAAACTACTATTGAAAATAATTAATTTAGTATGGAGGTTTTAAAGGGAGACGTAATGAGTCCGACATTCTCCCTTTAAATAGAGGGTCACTTTAATTTAGTCTATTTTCAAAAAACAGAAAAAAATAGAATAAGAAAGGACCAAAATCTGTGAACTAGTTCAACTACTACTACTACTACTACTACTACTACTACTACTACTACTACTACTACTACTACTACTACTACTACTACTACTACTACTACTACTACTAATACTACTACTACTACTACTACTACTACTACTACTACTAATAGTAATAATAATAATACTTCTACTATTACAACTAGTAGTGAAAGTATTCAAGTAAATAATTTTTTTTTTGATTAGGGCAAGAGTGGGTCACCTGGAAAGAAGTTCGACCCCCTTCCCGCTGCAGCTCTTCTTCAATCCTCAACACTCGGTGAGGTTTAGTTACATATAACCCATAGATTAAACAGATTTGTGCTGGGTCCCCAACTATCGTACATATCCAGGCCTTTGTGCGATGTGCATTGTTAATTGTTATGTGATAATAATCAAGTTTCTTTCATGGTTTAAATTGTGTTTAAATTTACGAACGTTGCCGATTTACACTTTTTCTGTGAAATCTGTGGGAGAAAAAAATCCTTGTGTGCAAGATTAATATATAATTTTAGCATAACTTTCCTTAACCACCCTGTACATCTTAAGTCTATTTATGTACATATTTACCATAATCACCTTTAGGAATCTATTAGTGAAGTTTCTATATGTTTATTAATATACTGGGAAATCGGTACAGTCGTGTCTAACTCTTGAGTTTTTTAAATATTTGAACTAGCAGAACTTATATTCTGCGAAGGCTAAGAAAATTACAACATTTGATAATATTTCTTTTATTTGATATAAAACATTAGTTAAGCAGCTGGCACCAAAAAAAATCCCGTTTTTTCTGTGACATGTGAAATTTATGAAATATGGTTTGATTTATCCCACTTTTATCAACGATGGATTTGTTTCAGCAATATCTATTAAAGTAAAGAGAATATGTTTACTATAGAGTTGCTTTTATGGTCTAACGTCTAAAGGCGCAATTTCTATTTCTATTTTTAAAAATAATCGGACTGGTAGTCGGAGAGTGTCGACGTGATTTCAGGGTTTTTCAGGTTTTTCATTTGGAAATAAACAATTTCCAGTTGGTAGGTAGTTACTTTCGGACTTAATCAGCAGGTAGAAAGAAGGACATTTTCAAATAGTCTAAAGTGTACCTTTGTTTATCGAGCATAGAATTCTTTAAATGGGGGATCACTTATATATATATAGTTAGGTCAACAGTACCTTGAACTACATCTACATTAGCTAAACTAGGAACAAACCTTACGTTTGGAAGGAAAATCGGGTCTTAAGGAACCCTTGATAAAGTGACATTTTTCAAATTCCATGGTTATGTAGGTGAGAATATTTTTAAATATTTCAAAATCATCCTTGCAGGACTTTTACCAACAATAAATGTTGGCTGGGAAATAAATGGAGGATATTGGGGGAGGGGGCGGCAGGGGGGTAGGACTGAGTTGTAATGAAAATAAGGAGTTCTTTTCCTTATGTTGATATATTTCATTCTATTTAGTGACAAATAGCTTGCGTCCCGCGCAGGGTATACAATCATTGATTCCACATCTGTCAATTAACCATCAACAATCCATCAATCAATCTGAATATGGTCGAAAATCCGGCTTTGTGTCTGTGCAAGGTACTTGGTGTAAACACATTTCATTTGTCAGCAAAACGCACTCTCTATGTTTCTCTACATTAGACCTGGTGCAAAATGCACATTCATTACATTGGCCTGTTTATACCGTAAGTGTACGTAAAATTAGAAACGACTAATATGCCATATGATGATATGATTATGTAATTACATTAGAAATTTTTATAGGTATACATATGATTACTGTTTTATTTTTAACATTAATTAGGTTATGTATATCTTTTTAATTATATTTTATTAAAAACTAATAGATGGACATATACTGATAGAAAATCGATGGAACCTTTTAAAATATTCATGAACCCATGAACCTTTATTAGCATGCCACTCTATAAGGAATAAAAGTGTATATTTCTACATTAATGGCTCTAGCTTATTAATAAACTATCTAATATCTGTAACCTTTTTTGCTTTCGCCTAAATGTTTGCATGCAATAACACAAACACATTGTCATAGAAACTAGACCCTTTAAGCCAGCCCTTTTTGCACTTACGTGGGGTATGCTAGCATGATATCATTTCAACCAAGTAAAAAATCTTAATATGAACTAGATATCATGCTGCGATCTTACTATAACCCGTACATTAAATGTAAATTAAATAATTTGGAAATAAGGTTATGATTATGAGTAATATTAACGATTTAGTATAAAAAATGATTATAATTTTTTTCATCAAATTTTGTGTCCTTAAAGGGAGCGTTCGCAAAAATTGAAAGGTGGTTTGAGCTTCCGGCGAAAAATTGTCGATGGTGATCACTTCTAATCTTATCTTCTATCTGTTGCGCCTATAAGGAGAAAATTGTTAAAAACGACTTTTACCGAAAAACGAAGCGTCTAAAGAAATTCAGAAAGTTGCAACATAAGACTCGGATCGTAAAAAAATCAATTTAATTCCTAACAAATCATTCAGACATTACAACATAGATAAATAAATAAACATAGATAGCTTATGTACGCAAAATCGCCAAGAATTGTACAGTCCGAAAACTCATGCTTCTAGGGGTCAATGTGTACTTCAATGATAAGCGGGGTGGTTTGTTTTTTTAATGGATTTTATAATTATTAAACCACTCAGGAGTGAATTTTTTTTTCAGAATATCAAATTATTTCACTGAGCAATATACATAAAGAATAGAATATATAGAGAGGAATTAAAAGAATCTCTCGGTATGAATTTTTTCAGTCCCTTTCAGCCTGAAAAGGAGTTCAAAGTGTACAAATCATGTAAATGTTCACAAATTATATGCATTAGAGTACATTAATACAGTATGTTCCCTAGACTATCCATTTCAATTTCGAATTTTTTAAACTGTTAAATAAACTTTATGATGAATCAGGTGAATAAAAACATCATTTGATTTAAAGTTATAACGGAAAATCATCGTTTGTAAAGTGGAAGGCATAGAGTCTATGTGAAATGATCATTGGTCAATTATGAAACCAGCCTATTTCATTATTTGGTTTTCTTTTAACAATAATTTTAGATTTTATATAAAATGATATTCCAGGGCCTAACAGGCTATATAGCATATATATGTGAAGTACACCTGCAGTATGGAAACAGTACAACAAAATGGCCGTTTTACACTTTTTTCCTGTAAATTCCTCTCTATATATTCTATTCTATATGGCAATATATCATATTGACGAGAACTGAAGAAGGACATGTGAAGGACTAAACTAACTTAAATTTCTTTTTACAGAACTCATGTACACCACAAGTACTCGATGACATAAGTACTGCCAATGTTCACAACCGACCTAGTTAATCTATATAATAGGAATATCTTTAAAACATATCTGTACATTTATATCTTTCAAGATGAAAAATGTCGTCTTATGCGCAATCTATCTTTATCTATGCATTACAACCTTCGAAAATTTTTCGACCAATTCGTATTTAGTTGATATTTCATGTTATTTTTTATTATAGACGCAACAGATAGAAGTAAGATTTGTAGCACTCACCATCGATAATTTTTCGCTGTAAGCTTATACCCCCTTTCATTTTTTGCGAACAATCCCTTTAAAGGGAGTAAAAAATGCCTTGATCTGTTAGTAATAATAAAAAACCTTTCAAAAATGTCCCTAAGTCTGAGATGAAATAAGATCCAATATTTTCTGTCAGAAAAAATTGGTTTCTATCAAAGTTCCTCTGCTATTAAAGCAAAAAAAGGTGCTTAAATTTTGAGACATTTTTCAATAAATTGAAAACAAAACTATCATGAAATTTATCTGACTAAGTGTAGTATAAAAATCGGGAAAAATACAGCCAAGATTTTTTTTGCGAGATGGGATTGCTTTGAGAAATGTTGTGTAAATTTTAGCTGAAAGGTAAAAAATCAAAATAAAGATATGTTGTAGATTTATTAAATATTCTACAGTTCTCGTTTTACTATTTTTCAAGTAAAAAAATATTAAATAGGAGCAATAAAGCCGATTTAAAATTTGAATCATTTTTTTCCAGATGGTGGTCACTTTATTGTTCTGACTGGATTTTAGGCACCCATGTTCCCATAATTTTGAGCCTCATACGAAATTTTTGTTTTTCAAGGGATGTTAAGATCATGGTCAGTTTAATCTCAAAATGTCATAATGTAATTTAATTGTAGGTGCATTTAGCCTGGCCATATAATCTAAACGAAAACAAATACAAACCTTTAATTATAGTCGAGCAATAATGGTCATTTATTATAATTATTAAACATTTTGAATTCTAATCGAGCCAAGACAATAAAGTGATGAAAAAGTAGGATTTACTTAATAAAATTCTATTTTATTTTTAAGATTTTATTACTGTAAAATATGTAATATGCTTGTATTATGTGAGATATATCTGCAATGCAAACATGTACATTTTGAAATTGTATTTGTGAGGATTGTTGTAGATTTTTACACAGGATCTCCTGGTCTGTCTCCAGTTGCTACTCCAGATACACTCTCAGAATCAGGATCAATCAAGTCTGCCAGATCAAGAAGGTATGTGAACGCCCCCAAACCCCCTCCTTCTTAATGCTGATCCATACCTTGCCCCCTCCCACCCCCTCCACATTAGGACTGCAAGCTAGGAGAAGTGGAAAAAGTTTAGAAACTGAGGATAAGTAAAGAGATAAAAAGTTAAAATTAATGACTCAAAACTAAAAACTTGATTTTTAACTGATTACCCCCTATCCTCCCATTTTCAACCAAAAGTGGTAAAATAGTTTACTACAGAAAAAAATACCTTTTATTAAGAAAAATTGGATTTCTTGCCTTCCTTTTTTTCTTTCTTTCACTTACCCCCCCCCCCTCATTTGGCCTACAGGCCACGCACAACCGGTGTACATTTGAATATCCGTACTGGGCCAACCTTTGCTATCTTAGTCCAAAATTACTTAAGCTGCAGACCTGTGTGAGGCTTGCTTCATCTTTTTTATTCTTAAAAACATCGTATAACGCGCAGTATAGGGACATTTGTAAAAAAAGAAATATTATCGTTCGAAGCATTTACAATTGTTTCACTTAAATTCGTACAAACTGTTGACTTGTTTTAGAAAGCACTAAGCTATCCAATCTGCTTTTTGACAAAACTTAAAAGCAAAACAACAAAGTCAAAGTTGAAAAATTTGAGTTTTAAAACTACGAAGAAAAAAAGGCAATTTAAAGCATCATTTAAATGATAAATTTGTCAAAAGTAAAAGGGGCACGAAGCGTCCTAGCTTAGTGTTCTAAAAGTGACTAATAACCGTTTAAAATCCCACTTCCCTGAAAATTTCTTGTGAAGGAGTAAAATTTAAATTTATTTTTATTTTCATAAAAAAATTAATATTTTTTCCCCACTGAAAAACATGTTTTGTTAATTCATCTTTGCCAAAAATAGTAAAAGAAAAAAATATTAATTTTTTACAAAAATTGAATAGATAATATGTTTAGCCGAACACTGCCCTTCCTACCTCCAGAGGAGCCTGCACCCTTACCTTCGCAGGCTAAAAAAGCACAAGACAGAATGCGGTAAGTTTACAGGGTTACACCCTAAAGCATTACAAGGGTTACACACTACAGCAAATTTTATTCCTAAATGTATATTAATGAACTATGAATGAATTATTGAGAAGTTCAAATGGTTATCATAAAATAGACAGTGTTGTCTTAATGGGATTTTGCTCCTCTTTAGACAAACACTTGGTGGGATGGAACATTTCCACTTTTCTGAAAAATGAAATGATCGTTTCGTTTGCAACGTAGAAAAGAAAGGTATTGAATAAAATCGTTTTTCAAAATCTAAAATAATAAAGTAGCAGACTTTTATATCTATTCGTTATCGTAGTTTGGTTTTATTTTAAACTTTCGACATATCGTCATTCTTTTCTTTGTTTTTCAAAAGTTCAAAACTTACAGATTCTAGAAATATTTTTTATCCGATAAAATACAAGGTTTTATTAGCTAATCATAAAATTAAAAAAAAATTAATAATTGAGATTTTAAATAAAAAATAAACCACAACAAAATACTTTTTAAAAAGCTGACGTTATTTTTGAAAACTTAAATATGGAATTATAAATCGATGTGTTAAAGGCATTTTCTTTTTGTTTTCTTGCTCTTTAATTTAGTTATTATAAAATAGATAAAATATATTTTCCTTTAAATTAATTATTTGTTAAAAAACAAAAGTTAAGTTTTTTTCATTTGCCCGACTTTTAAAAGCATTTTTCTCTGCTTTTGTTCAAATTCTGATCTATTAATTCACACGCAGCGTGCTGGAATAACAACCGAACTTCTCAATTATTTTTTTTAGGTCGTATGGTAAAATGCGACAGAGTAGTTTAGATGGTATTACCGGAATGCCTCCTAAGAGTTACTCAAGTTTTGGACGACCGAGACCGAGTAACAGGTAGATTTTTGAAGAAATGACATCATGATATTATATTGAACTAGTAATATTCACAAAGAATGCCAATATATTTTAATAAATCATCCTTTGAACTTTTATCCAAGAAACAATCATTTAGATATTTTTATTTCTTCATTGCTTCTCAGTTGAAGACTGCTATAATTAAATTTTACTAACGGTTCATAGCGCACTGTAAATCGTTAATAACAGTTTTAAGAAAACGTTTCACTAAAATTCCGTTTTTTTTCTTCAGCGAAACAAATTTACGTAAGCTTGCACTGGAGGAGAGGAATAGACCAGTTTCTGCGCTGGGATTATTACAAGGTATACCATAATTTGTCAGACATACTCTGCAAAAATTCAATTAAGGAAATACAAATTATCGTGTTAAAAGCATAAAATTCCAACAATTTGCAGGTATTTGTTACTTTAAAGAATAATTTTCTTTTTGTTTTCTTTGTATTTAATTATTTCATAATATTAATAATAGTACGAATAAATTAGATAAGATAAATTTTCCTTTCTTTTTACAAAAAAGCTAAAGTAACTTATTTTATTTAAGGGCATATACAGGAATTTGTCCAAGAATTTATTTATTTTTTTCTATCTCCCTTGAAATTCTTAAATTGTCCTTCTTCAGGGAGACCAAAGGAGGGATTGCTGCTCCCAGGGTTTTGGAGTTGCTCCCAGGGTTTTGGAGTTGCTCCCAGGGTTTTGGAGTTGCTCCCAGGGTTTTGGAGTTGCTCCCATATAAGAAAATTCATCAGACCTTTCATGAAAAGGGAACATTAAAACATTAAAACATTAAAACATTAAAACATTAAAACATTAAAACATTAAAACATTAAAACATTAAAACAGTAAAACATTAAAACATTAAAACCGAAAATTGAAAAAGATTATTGGTAAATGTAGAAAAAAATCTTTTTTAGCTAGACACATAAAGGTTTCACTTAGATGGTTTAACACATCTCAACATCTTTATAAGTTGTCTTATTTCCAAGTTTTTTTTTCATAAAAATTCTATTTTTCATCCAAAAAATCTTTAATTGATTGGTGCCATTAAAAAATGCTTTTTTACTCAAAACTCACAAAATAAAAATTGTTCTAAACCAAATTTAGAGCCTTCTATACTGCAATATATCAAAAATCATCAAATTATTAAGAAATCTAAGGAAAACTATGTTTTTACTTATTTTTCCTAAGATATCTCAATAATTTGATGACTTTTGGTATAGTGCCGGCAATAAAGAAGTTGACATAGAAAATTTTTTATTTTGTGAGTATTGAGTTTTTAGCCTTTTTAATGGCACCATCAATTAAAGTTTTTTTTAGGCAAAAAATAGAATTTTTATGAAAAAAAAATTGGAAATAAGATAATTTATAAAGATGTTGAGATGTGTTAAGCAATGTCAAATGAAACCCAGTGTCTAGCTAAAAAAAGATTTTTAGTTTGGCTAATTAAAACTATATGATAGCCACAGGCTACTTGGACTGTAATTTGCCATTTTTTCTCCTGCAAATATCTGACCAAAGACAGTAAAAAAAGGGGTAACAGAGCCCTTTTTTCAATTTTCGGTTTTAAAGTACCCTTTTTAAAGGACTTTTCAGAAAAGGTCGGATAAATTTTCGCATTTTACTCCTAACCCCTTACAGCATTTCCAAAATCCTAGGAGCAATTCCAAAACCCTGANCCTGTGTACGCCTTTTTATATTATAAAAATATGATACAATTGAAACCCACTGAGATTGTTGAAATTATAAAATTAGATGATGGTTTACAAACAAATAGTTTAAAGGTAAGTTTAAATTGTATATTTATCCTTGCAACCCATTCATCAGCTTTAACTATTACCATTACTATGTAATGCATAGACACGGACACATTTTTGAAAAGCAAAGACGACACCTGCAATATAAAAATGTCGACTTTTCTAATTGACCCATTTCAATTTATTTATGCGTCCAACTTTTCACTTTTATTCTAGAATTTACTCAGTTTAAAATGGTAACATTCAACACTGCATGTTATGTTTTTTTTTAAATTTAAGAACTATGGCGTTACAGAAGGATTATTCCCATATATATATATATATAAAGATATATATAAAGATCTGTATTGTGTGTATTGGGTAAGGTTTGAGAATACTATCGTCGCTGTTTAGTTGGTTAGGTTAAGATGAGTAAGTTTGGGGAGTTTGCTAAAGCAGTGTTCCAATTTGACACTTTTTTAACCAAATTGTGTACAAGGCTGCATTTGGTTCTAAAAATTGAGAGGCGGAAAACATTAAGAATTTAGAACAGAGACCCACCCTGGAAAAAGTAAGGTTCCCCCTTAAGGAGCAGAGACCCATCTTGGAGGAAATGAGGTTCCCTCAGAAGGAACAAGGAACCACCCTGGAGGAACTGAGGTTACCCCTGAAGGAACAGAGACCAACCCTGGAGGAACTGAGGTTACCCCTGAAGGAACAAAGACCAACCCTGGAGGAACTGAGGTTACCCCTGAAGGAACAGAGACCAACCCTGGTGGAAGTGAGATCCCCCTGAAGAAACAAGAAGAGAGAAGCACGCCCCTGGAAGGAAAAAGATGTATGTCACCATAAGATAGAAACCATAGTAAATTATCCCGCCCCCATTTCCCAGCTGGATGAAAGTTGTATTCCAGATATATCAGTCCCAACTCCTGGTACAATTTTCCGACTTTCACTCATTTAATCAATTCAATATTGCCAGAAATAAAAACAGTTTTTACTTGCTTTCCCGGAAAGGATGACCATAGAGCTAGCTGTCAACTTTTTCTTTGGGCATTCCAAAACTAATTAATGTCTATAAGCTATGGCCTGCGACTTAGATCAAAAAGAAAAAATAATGGCTAACAAAGTGGAATGGGATGAATTTGCACGGTTTAAATTGATTTGAATTGAATAAAACCATGAATAAATAGTTAGAATTTAGATCTAAAAAAGCTATCAACAGATCAAATAGCAATGCAGTGAATGTCGTCGCGTCTTATTTTTTTCAATAACCTTATCTTATCTCCATATCCCTATTACCGACAATTTTTGCCCTTCAGAGCTTGTCAGTCTTGTTGGATAGCCAACGTTTCATTGGCTTGGGCTTTAACAATCACAACCGCCACTTCACCTCTTTATTCCCTGTTTTAAATCCGCCAAACATTTTGTATATTTATTCTGTATCAAGTACACACATATAGATTTTCTATATCTAATCATTCTACAACATCACTTATAGGATATGGACGTTAACCCCATTTAATCATTAGACACCTGGCTAATATCGCCATTTCCTAACCACAACACCAATAATTTTCTATACCTAACAAAACATTGAATGAAAGTAATTACAAAGATTGATTAAAACCATCAAATTTATTTTCATACTAAAATTTTGAGACTTTGTCACACTAATTTTTAAGAAACAAAATTTTTGGGAGATGGTTTCACAGGATGATATATAATCATAGAGAATAGAATATATTGAGAGGAATTATAACTATTAATTACTACTTAACCGGGAGATTAAGGGAGGATAATTAAATTGAGGGGAAAACCACTTAGCCGAGGGCCTCCAAGACCTTTTTGGGGTTCTAAACCTCACGAGCGTAGCGAGGGAGGTTTAGAACCCCAAAAAGGTCGAGGAGGCCCAAGGCTAAGTGGTTTTCCCCTCAATTTAATTATCCTCATGAAAACTCCCGGTTAAGTAGTAATTTATCGTTTAATCTCCTGTTCAACGAAATAACCAACCGTGGGGGATAAAATAATAATGAANCAATTACTCAATTATGAAATCAGCCTATTTCATAATTTGGTTTTTATTTAATATTAATTTTAGATTTTATTTGCAAAACATTTAGTTAAAGAAAATTTTTGAATTGAAGATTCTGATTCCAAAATAATTTTCCCATTTGAAAATTTGTAAAATGAATTTAAAATTTTAAGTTTATCCCCATCCTCAATTTTAGTGGAAAAAAAGTTGAACCATATGTTGATATCTTGAATATTTCTAAAATATTGGCTTTCAAATAATTTTCAAGAAAATTTTTGTATAAAATGATGTTCCAGGGCCCAAAAGGTTATTTAGCACAAATATGTGAAGTACATCTGCAGTATGGAAACAGTACAACAAAATGGCCGTTTTACACTTTTTTCTAGTAAATTCCTCTCTATATATTCTATTCTCTATGTATATAATGGATAAGTTATCGTATGCAGTGGAAGATACACCCTGTATAAAAGGTTACAAACATCATATTAAAAACACAAGACAACAAAACAAAAAATGTTCCCCAATGGAAAAACTTTGGCATAATAATAATAATAACAATAATAATAAAAACTTAAACAATTTTGTTAGGTAAATATAAAATCAATAAGTCAACATAAGACTCGCATTTTAAAGGAATTGACTCTTTGCCACAAACTCTGATTTTCAAATCCCAATATCTTTGGAACCCAATGTCGTAAACCTTTGATATTTCAAACTTATATTTTTTGATCTAACAAAAGAGATATTTTGAAATATCAAAGGTTTACGACGTTGGAATCCAAAGATATAGGGATTAGAAAATCAGAGTTTGATGCAAATAGTCAATTCCTTTTGAAATAGAATCGCCATTTGTGTATAGGTGCATTTGATGTACATATAATCTTCTAAAGTAGTATCACATCATATTTTTTTTCTCTTACTGATTTATTTTTACGTTTACTAAATCAATATATGGCTTTCCTTTCATTTAATTGGAATTTTGTATTTCTCTGTGAAAAATGACACTGCAAAAAACATTGTTTGATGGTTAAAATTCATATTTGCATAGATATTCTAGCTTAAGAAAGTTTAGATCCAAAAAAAATCATTTGCGAAAAAGGGACGTAGAATTTAAAAACCTCAGTTACATTTTGCGAAAAATTGTAAAATAACAAAACATTGGAATTTCAAGGTGGATCACAATGTGTCAAAAATAAATGAACATGACTTTATAGACTACCATAACAAACAGAATTTTTTACTTAACTGTAGTCTGTAGAGATTAAGAGATCCAAAAATGATAAGTTTTTAAAAAAGATTCTTTTTTAATTGTAGCAAGAAATCATTCTTTTGCTTTTATTTTTATCGATCAAAGTTTTCTCTTGCTATTCATTATTGATATGTTCCTATTAAAATTCCTATTCTTATTTTAGCCTCGAGTGTGATCAGCAGCCATGGTCCTAGTCAAGCTGCTAAGGAGCACGAGAAGCGAATACTGGAAAATATTCTTCCGCCAGACCTCCGCCATCTCATTAGAGGTGGAGGTGGATCTTCCTACTCATTCCAGGTTTGTTATTAAAATACACGTGTTCTTCATCCATCTGCAGAACGTACACACGCTCGATTGAATAGCCAGATATTTTGATTCCAAAATGTGAATTGCAAAGTTGAGTCTTACATAAACTCTTGCCTTCATAATATTTTTAAAACAAATTATCAGAATTTTTTTAATCCAAATATATATTTCAACTTAAGAAATTTGTTGCAACAAATTGTATTAGTGTTATAAAATGGAACCAAAAATCTCAATTTTTTGTAAATGCTATTTAACAGTTATCCATAGCTTGGATCAAGAAACTTGAAGGTTTTAAGTAAATGCACTCTTTCTTCAATCTCTCTACCCCCCCCCCCATACACACCTCCTCTCTCGAGCATTTCTGTAATCCTGATGTTGTACGCATTAGACTGTTCAAAAATCACTCTTTCTTCCAACCAATCTTTTACCCTTCCCCTGAATAATGTGTTTGAAGTTACCCACACCAGAATGTAGGGAGGGGAAAGTTTGATTATATTATTAAGAAGGATAAAATGGTGAATACGAGGTTAGTTTGAAGAGAGGAGGGTTAAAACACAAGAGCTAATGCGCTGGATTATTTCACCTAATAATTTATCAATAAATCTATTTGCATTGTAACACCATCAAATGTACTTAAAAATTGCTTTTATGTCGTCTTCTTACTACACAGTTTCCTGTAGTAAAAAATCGCTTTATTGCTTTGCGCAATCTAATATAGGTGACACTACCAGAAACTACCTGAGACTATACTAGAAACTAAAAAAATTTCATATTCATGCCTCATTCAAATATGAAACTGATTTTTTCCGTATAGAATATTCGGCAGCAAATTGAAAACGACCTGAAAGGCGGAGTTTCCTCTAACACCTCAGGACCTTCCGCTGGAGAAATTGCCAGGCTTAACGCTGAAAAGAAACTTTTTGGAGTTCAGTCTGAACGAATACGAGCTGAGATGCAGAGATACGCAGCTACTAAAGATCCTCGTTTAAGGTGACAATCAATTTTATATAGATTAATATAAAAATGTAACATATTTCGGAAAAATTATATGAACTTTTTCGTTCGAGTTTAATTGAGGACTGATTTCAAAATCCTAACGTCTTGGTCTACCTTCTACGATAATTTTGCCATTACAGGAAGAAAAATATATAAATGACATAAACAAAAAGTTTGTTGTTCAGTCCATCGTCTTTGTGAAAGTGACATAATTTTTAATCTATTTATTGCAAAGGTTTTTATTTCTCGATCTTATTTCTTTCTCTCTAAAGATTGTTTCCTAAGTCGACGATAAAAGATCATTACTAATTGTCAGGTGTTAAATCTGAAATTTCTTTAAACTGTATTTTTCTAATCTGTTCATTAAGTTTTGATTGGTTTTAGGGCGGAGATGAAACATAAGCTTAACCCTGTCATGGATAATCAGCTTTCCAGAACAAGGTAGATACAGGGTGTCCCAATAAACATGGGAATTCAGTGACGAATTGGATATCGTCTTTGTTATGAATTAGCATTGTAATACCTAATTTCAAAAGCCATAATATTATTATGTCTGCTAGATTTTATTTTATGAAAAGGATAAAAGACTGTAAAGATGTGTCTATAATGTCTCCGCAAGATGAACAGTGAAGACGGACAAGTTTACTATGTTTATATACTGCAATTTTCTTGTTTTATTAAGTACAACCGTATGCAGTCAAAACATAAACAAACAAAATGTGAACATAGCAAACGAAACAGATTACAGCTTTCTCAGTAGGTATCACTATACTAAATCAAAGAATTATTTAAAAAGACGATATCGAATTCGTCACTGAATTCCCATGTTTATTGGGACACCCTGTAGTTAATATTTATAAACAAATTTTACTTGTTTGATAAATATTTCTGTAAGCAATTGTTCTAATTTAGCTATAAATATATCTGCGCACGTCTGCCTTTTAAGATTGGGGTGAAGAAAAGAATTGAGTCTTTGCCACAAACTCTGATTTTTTAATCCCAATATCTTTGCAACACAATGTCGTAAACCTTAGAAATTTCAAGCTATGGATTCTGTTAGGTAAATAATCTATGTTCAAAATATCAAAGGTTTACACCATCATGTTGCAAAGATATAGTGATTAGACAATTTGGATTTGTGTTAAAGATTCAATTCCCTGTAGAGAAAATCAGCGCACAGCTAATATATGTCGTCTTTGAATTCTTATATATTGTTACTTCTTATATTTTGAATATTTGGATGTTATCAATAAATTCCTATGTTCACACAAACTGCCTTTCACGTTGGGTTTCTAGGGAAGGTGTAAGAAATCTCCACAGACGAAAGATGACATTTATAAAAAGATTTGTGCGCTCGCGCAGTATTAATGGCCAGCCGGAACTTAAAGCACTGAGTTATATATGTACAGGGTGTCCCACGAAACATGACAGTATGCAGGACGACTTGAATGTCGTCTTGATTTTTGATATAATTTGCTGCGTTTATTTGTCAACCT